CGCGCCCCGGCCCCGCCGCCCGCGCCGGGGCGGTCGCCTGCAGAGGAAGGCGCTGCAGTCTCTTGGCCTCGCGGCCCCACTCGAGAGTCCTCAGCACCGAGGGCTCGCGGGTCCTGAGGGGAGGAGACGAGCCTGGGGCTGGGCACTGAGCTCTTGGGCGCCCCCACCCCCGTTTTCGGAGCCCTCCACGCTGCGGCCGCTCTCCCCTCCGGACCATGGCTGACGACGACGTGCTGTTCGAGGATGTGTACGAGCTGTGCGAGGTGATCGGCAAGTAAGTCTCCACGCGAGGGAGCGGGAGTGTGGAAAAATGCATTTCAGTGATGTCCGGGTCCTCCCGCACCCGCTCTGGGCCTGCCCCCTGCTCTCCCTCCCTTCCCTCTGCTTCCCTGGTCCTCCTCACCCTGGAGTATTTATAGACGTGTACCTGGATCTCCTGCCAGGCGAGGGTTTGGGGGATTCTTAGCTATCCATTGAGGCCAATGAGCCAAGGTTGGGCACCCTGTAAAGCGTGGGGCTGGCTGCCTGCATTTTATCTGACGGTTGCACAGGGACGTGGCAGAATCAATTTTATAGTTGTTTCCTGGGAGCAGTTGGGGTTATTGTTACCTTGCATATACCATAGACCATTTATGAAAGGAGGTGCTTGCATTTCTTTTGCTTGCACGGAGAGAGAGAGGGAGAGAGAAAGAGCGAGAGCGTTCAGGGTTTTTAATTGTGGGGTGTGTGTCTATTGTGCAGGATATTAGACAGATGCCTTTGTGTTCACCCCATGCCCGGGTTGGAGGGGATCATTTAAGACGGGGTGCATTCAGTTTCAGCAAATTCTCTCTGAGTGTAGACGAATGTGGAAAGAGTTGGGGGCATTCGAATTTTTAATACCTCGTTATGCAATGACTGTTCAATCAGTGCTCGAGGCTCCCCTCGACTGTTGTTGGGATGGTGGTTAGCGTGGTGGAGCCGTCTGCTTTGAGTCACCGGGCTGGTCTAGAATATAGAACTGACAGTCCAAATGCTCATCCTTTCATCTGTGTTGTATAATTACGCTAGGGAAAAGCAGGGAATCAGATTAATCACAGCGCTGATTGAGAATTAAATCTGCAGTTCCTCATCTAATTGTCCATTCCTTAAATCTATTTTGAATAGTTTCCTTTTCATTCTTGTCAAACAATATTCCAAGCGCACAATCCTGCTAATTTGCTTGTGAGGGAAATGCTGGCAATCTGAACTTGATTTCCTAGCACAGCGTGTATTCTGTGGTTTTAGAAGTTAAGAGATAAAATTTAAGAGCGATTTGTGCTTATTTAATAAGGATTGCTAGATAGCTACCATTGAAATATTTTACCTCTTTTTTTGGAAGCGGTGTTTTATTGTCTATTTTAAGGTCTGCAGTTGGGAAATGAAAGGAAGATCTTAGAGCAGTTGGCTCTATCTCTTTTAAGTTGTCTGCAGTACTTAATTTCAATTTCTGTGAGTGCTGATAACTATTTTTTCTCCCAATTTTTTTCTTCCATATTGAGGTGTTACAATGTTGTCTTACATGGTGAAATTGTGGGTAAAGCTTGCTACACACTTTACTCAGACCCATTTATAAGAGGACATGTTACTCCTTGCCCCTATTGTTAGAAGACCAGCCTGTCTGCTAGGAGGATATCCAAATGTGTCCTGGTAGAAGTGGTTGTGGAAGTGCTCTAGCGCAGCACTGTCCAAAAGATATATAATGTGGGCCACCTATGTAATTTTAAATTTTCTAGTAGCCACATTAAAAAAGATTAAAGACAAATAAGGGCAATTAATTTTAATAAAATATTTTATTTAACCCAGTAGATCCAAACTATTATCATTTCTACATGTAAGCAATATAAAAATTATTAATGAGATATCTTACATCTCTTTTTACACTAAATCTTTGAAATTCAATGTGTATTTTACACCAACAGCACATCTCAATTCCTGACACTAAGCAAAATTTTCATCAGAATACTCCGTATTTAAGTTTCATAAAATTTGCATTTGTAAGAGTAGATTCACATACTCAAGTTGTTCCAAACATACTTAAAAGTTTTCCAATAACTGAATCAAGTATTCTTTCTAAATGTAAATTAAAATTAATTAAAATTTAATAAAATTCAAAATTCAGTTCCTTAGTTGGACTAGCCACATTTTAAATGCTCAATAGCTATATGTGAATAGCATAGTTCTAAAGAAAAAAATGTATCAGAAATCTCCTTGGTCTCTTCATTTTCAGGAGTACCCAATGAAGGTAAATTAGGTGTTTCCCAAAAGCCTCCAAATGACTACATGTGTGGGTGAATGATATTTGTTACATCTTAGTTATAGCTGATGTAAATGAGCCAGCAAAGTCATAATTGGAAAATGTGAGATTAAAATGTTAATTATATTGTGATGATGGAAAATAACCATCATTGAATTAATTTTGGTAACTGGTTCTGATTCCTTAAGGTCTGGAAGGGTGATAATATGATCCCTTTGGATATTGAAAAGAAGTGGTCAGCATTACATTAACACAGTCTTCTGCTGACTTATAATTGATAGATTTTCAGAAAACGTCCCTGGTAGAATTAAATCATTTCTTCTGTTTTAGAGCTGCATAAAGAGGGAGAGCAAGCTAATTTTGAGGTGATGGGTACTCTATTGGCTACATTAACTACTATGAACTGTGAAATCTCTCATTCATAACCTACAAAATAAGACTTGGTCAGTACTATTTATAAAATGCTATTCCATGAAGTAATGAATCCAAGGTAGCCTTATTGTTAAAGAATGTAATGATAGTATTCCTCACCCTTTGTAAAGGTCGAAGGTTTCTGTGGTAAATTGTCTCAGTATATATTGATCTGGAAGTTGAAATTAGCTTGAGATTTTTTTGTAGGGATCTTGACAGCACACATCTTAACTTAGAATTTGTTCAAGTCTGGATTTAAACCGGAAATGCCTTGGAGGTGTTATACTAAAAACACCTTTTTGTTGATTTCTATCCAAGTTCTATGGAATTTTGATTTTCTCTTATACCAAATTAGCATCACAAGGTATTTTTCACCACTAGGTCTTAATGGGTTTACCTTTTTACCAAATTACTTTAAAATAGATTTCACCTTTCAAGACTAATTGACCACCCACTAGGTCTCCCCCTTCCCCACTACTCACTCTTCTACCATGAGGCCTTACATGGTAGCATAAATGAAAGTTCCAGTTTAATTTAGACCTTTTAGTGTTTTTTCTTCCCCCTTGGTTGAAACAACAACTTATAGAATTGAGATTTTTAGGTATAAGATCATTATTTGGAATATGTTTTCCTTTCAGTGGCTTCAGCCTTTACTCTTGTTAAAGCTATCATTGAGAGAACATGTACCTGATTTATTATGAATACTGGGAGGATGCCATTTCTTTTTTTTTTAAATTAACACCCATTTTCCCTGTGTTTCTTACATTTGAAAATCTTGCAAAAACTCCTTTGAATCCTAGTGTTTCTTCAACATTTTCCGTGTAACATCCTTCAAGTGACTGAAACAAATCTCCAATAACGAGACCTTATCATAGTTCCCAAACTTCTTGTCTTAGCAAATGTAGCAATTACTGGAAAGGAAAGGCATTATGCAAATGCCAAATGACTAATTTTTGTGTCATGATCATTTGGTGTATTTTTTTGCAAATTTGTAGTTTTATAGGTAAGTCTAAAATCAGTAATAGTACGTGAAGGAAATTTAAGACATCCAAATTAAAGCATAGAAAAATGCCTACTTTCTTGGTACAGCAGTGTCTGTGAAAGAAAATAGCAAAATACGTACCATTTTCATCTTGTATGGGCAGAACATTTGTCCTGGTATTTAGTAATCTGTGACTTCTGACTTTCCTGCCCTGGTAGGACATATACTAAAATTGGACTGATGTAGCATGACCCCTGCTCAAGGATGACACGCAAGTTTGTGAGGCATGCTGTATTTGCTTACACCTCCAGAGCACTTAGATTTAATTACAGTTACTTATTTATGGGTCTCTCTACCTAGCTAATAGGGAACTTCTTGAGGGTAGGGAATGTATCTTATACATCTTTCTTATACATCTTTTTTATACAGTGCCTGCAATGTAAGTTGCTCATTATCTATAGAATGAATTGAATAGTTTTAATAAAATCTCATTAAAAGGGAAAAAAAGCATGTTTATCAACTTCAGAGCAATTACTATCCCAAAAGGCTGCATTAGTTTAAAGTAGTGATTCTCCACCTGGCTGCACCTTAGAATCATCAGGGGAGCTTTTAAAAAAGATCAATGCCAGGTCCCTGTGACAGAGTAGTGAAATCAGGATCTCTGGGAGTGAGTCCTGGTCACTGGTATTTTTTTTTAAAGCTCTCTAACTGATTCTAATTTACATCTATGATTAAGAGTCATTGATATAAAACTTAGATTATGTACATGATATTTTGGGACTAGCTTTTCAGAGGCTTACAATTTTTACAAAGTAGGAAAAGTATTTTTTCAATGCTCAACATCTCTAATTATTAGGGAAGTGCAAATCAAAATCAGAATGAGATAACATCTAACTCCAGTGAGAATGGCTCTTATCAAAAAGTTCCAAAACAGCAAATGCTGGCATGGATGCAGAGAGAAAGGAACACTTACACACTGTTGGTGGGAAATAGTTGTACTGCAAACTAGTACAACTTCTATGAAAAGTAGTGTGGAGGTACCTCAAAGAACTAAAAGTAGACCTACCATTTGATCCAACAATCCCACTACTAGATATTTACCCAAAGGAAAATGGGACATTTTATCATAAAGATGTTGAGAGTCGAATGTTTATAGCAATTCGACACAATTCATAGTTGCAAAGATATGGAAACACCCAAGGACCCATCAATAAATGAGTGGATTACTAAAGTGTAGTATATTTATACCATGGGTACTCAGCCATAAAAAATGGTGATCTAGTATCTTTTGTAACAACCTGGATGGAACTGGAGACCATTCTTCTAAGTGAAGTATGGCAAGGGTAGAAGAGCAACCACCACATGTACTCAATACTCAATTGGAACTAGTCAGTCAATGCTTAGGTACACATACGGAACCAAAACTCAACAGGAATCAGGTAGGTGGGAGTGGGAGTTGGGTTAATTCACACTGAATTCACAACACACACATTCTGGGTGAAGGGCACACTTGTAACTTTGACTTAAAATGTACACAAATTATGTAACCAAAACATGTATCCCAGTAATGTTCTGAAATATTTTCTTAGAAAGAATAAGCATTTTT